GAGGACAGCCGTGGCCCCAGTAGAGGAAGTCATGAGGCACCAGACCAAAAGACGGAACACTCGCAAGCAAGCCCTATTTGGGGGTTTCCGAAAATAGGGGAACAAAGTAAAGTACCGTAAATAGTAGGATCCTAATTATAAGGACCCCAAAATATGGTACCCTAATTTTCGGAAAGTCCCATATGCGCAGTATGTTTTTTCATAGTCACACATGCACGGATAGCTCGTAAACAAGAGGCGCAGCTCCAGCGGCGGAGACGCCACAGCCAGAGAAGGAGATCAAGGACGAGCGGCACGTGGAGCTCGTATTGTTTGGTTCCAGGAGGTTTTGCCACGTGAGCTTTGTGTGGCCTCCCTCATTGCCATCCTAGCCCGAAGCCCATGAGACCCCTAACTGAGCCTCTTTGCTTCGCCATCTTCTATGCTCCTTACCCCGTCGGCCCGTCGAAGGCTTCTGACGATGGTTAAGCAATTTTCGAAACTGCGAAAGCGGAACTTAAATGTCATTAATTCACATGCAAACAACTCCTTCATCAGAGGACGCGCCATGGCTCATTGGCGAAGCGGTCGCCTTTGATGAGCTGGGGCCACAGCATTTCTTGGTGTCTTTCAGTCCCTTCCCCCCTGGCGGCTGCGCGGTGTATGGGTTAGGGGTCTTTTAGCTTGAAGCAGTAAACTTGCTGTTGCGGATGGCTTTAGATTCTTCGGGGCTTCGGAGTTTGGCACTCAGTTTTCCTGTGGCCTCTCCATGAAAGCAAGTATTACCTCGGGCTCTTGAATGGTGGGCTGCTGCGTCTTCGGCTGATCTCAGATTTGGAGGAAGAGAGGCCAAGGAGATCTGAGAAAGCTAAGTGAGAAGCTTCCTCCTGTTTGCTGGGCTGTCATGTGAGATCGCAATGTCTGCATCACACACCCAAGGCTTGTAGATGGCACGTTTCCCCGGAGTTGAACAAGCTTTTTAAAGACATTTCTCACGGAGACCTGCGAGAGTCGCCGAGTCGCGAGAGTCTAAACCCCCCCAACCCTATGCAAGCTGCCGAGTTCCCAAGCAAAAGGCACCGAATGGCCTCTAGGGGGCCTCCAGGGAATCGAGTTCAGAGCACATTCCTTGATAAAGCGTGTAGGGGCCTTCGGATCTAGAAGCCTTTTTTGAAGCAAGCTACGCTGCAACTTCAGCTAGATAGGGGCGGGGGGGGAGTACATGGGACTATACCGAACGGAAAGTCGAGCCTTAAACATATTTATAGACCTCTCATGTCAGCTGCCGATGTTGTTGGGCTGATCAGGGCAGAGTCCCGAAGTTCAACTTCCGGGATGCTGTGAGGTCTGGCGAACCCATCATCCTCCGACAGGCCTCTGCTGAAGCGGTTTAGGGCCTTTAGGACTTTAGGCTTTTAAGGGTTTAGGGTTTTAGGCTAGGGTTTTAGGGTTTTAGGGTTTTTGGCCAGGGTTTTGGGGTTCAGGGTTTTAGGGTTTAGGGTTGCAGTCGGGGGCTTCTTTCCATCATTGCTCGGGCTCACATGAGACCTCCGATACACATAGGCTCCTAAGTAGTTCCTTTTTATGGTTCATAGTTAGAATCCTATAAGGTAATCCCAAAAAAGGAACTACTAAGGGACCCTAAACCCCTAAACCCTAAACCCCTATAGAATCCTATAAGGTAATCCCAAAAAAGGAGCTACTAAGGAGCCTATGGGTATACACATGGATCAGACCTGGAGGTTGATCCAGAGTCCGGCAGAGCGTGCGCACCTCAGCCGGGCTGCCTTAGGGGTGCTTTAGGGGCTTTGGGGTTTAGAGTTTAGGGTTTTGGGTTTTGGGTTTAGGGTTTAGGGTTTAGGGGGGGTTTGTGGTCTTGGCTCGTCGGGGTTTAGGAGTTCTAGGAGGGCAGAGTAAGAAGTTAGTGTGGTAGACAGGCGCTTTGCCGAAGGCCTGACCCGAAATTACGGCCCCTCCGGCCACCTTGCAACATGCATTCACCGAACATGCATAAGAATGCATATACGTAAGTCCCATTGAAGTGAACCCGAAAGCTTGAACAGCTTTTGAAGTATCTAAGCAGGTCCCAGCATGGCGAGACTTTAGGGGATGGCATGGCCAAGAGAGAGGGAGGGAGAGAGAGAGAGAGAGAGAGAGAGAGAAAGAGAGAGAGAGAGAACCAAGGGGAGTGTAGCAATGCAAGGAGATTGAACCCTAAACCCTAAACCAAGGAGACATAGTCAGCTGGGCGGGTGGGATTAAAAACCAAGGAGACACGTCGTCCGCAACGCGGATGGGAGTCTCCACACCTTCGGCGATCGCACAGTGGGCTGCTCGAAGGTTCTCTGAAGTTTGGCTTTTCAGGGCTGAGGGTTAGGGTTTAGGGTTTAGGAGTTTAGGACCTGTGCTGAAGAAACTGATTTAGGTTACCATGGAAGGTACATAGGAAGTCGGATCATGAAAGGAAGCTATGGCAACTTGAACTACGAGCTCTTTGACCAGAACCCAATTGAGCTGAAGGGTTTGGCGTCGAAGACTTGTCACCTTTTCAAGCCGCGCACAGTTGCGGCTGAGGCTTTGGACAGATTGAAGAGGCGTTCTCTACTTAAACGTCGGGGCGTTCTGCACTTCACTGCCCCTGCGACAAGAAGAACTAGCGATAATAAGTAACACCCTAGCAATACCCTGAGACCCTAAGCCCATTAAAATTCCACAAACATCCCGTCAAGTCTCAAAGCCAGTTGACACCTCGGCCTCTGCCAAGATCGAGTCGCTGATGTGCTCTGAGGATGCCAAAGCGAGGCAAAGAGAGCTTAGAGAATCAGGGAACTTACTGTAGCTAGGAGCGTCATACTGAGGGTAGCTTCGCTATACAATATAAAAGGGAACTGAGTTAGAGAATCAGGGGACTTAGCTAGTAGTCGGGTTCTAAATAGGGTAACTTCGATGTAAGATATGTCATATAACGCTAGCTAAGGTACTGATAACCCTACTTGCTCGGCCCCGTGATCCCTTAAGCAGAGGTTTTGTGAAGGAACTTGAGTTCACCGAATACAGTAAATTATGTTTGAGACTACAGCAGAAGCCCAATGGGTTGGAAACCCAATAGCGTCAATCTTTGATAGTTATTTGTAATGTATAGGGAATCCCAGCACTAATTGTCCTTAATCCGGTTTTCAACTTTTTGAGGCCTACTATAACTTCTCAAGGCGACCCCAGCAAGTAGGGAGCATCTGGTTTGGGACGTTGTCTTTTGAGAGTGTCTAGAAACGAAGGCTGTGTAGTGTTTGGAGTTGTCATTACTGCAGGGGAATAGGATTGTGCGGGGCTTTCGGTTTGAATGTTTTCGGAGCTTCTATGTTTGCCGGTTTAGGGATACTGAGCCATCAGGATCTCCAGTACAGGAGGAACTACTGTGTGCCCATGAAGGTTCGCCCTGATGCCTAGTCAAATCAGCGCAGGCGCTGGTTGGCGCAGCTCAGCAGCCGCGATGTGCGGGGTTTGGTCCACACGCTGGGCCGTCCATGCGCTCAGAGGGTTCAGGGGTCAGGGTTTTGCAGCCCCAGGCTGTTTGGCATTTCCGGTAGGGCAGTAAGCACCGGAACAGAAGCCCTATAAGCTTTAAACCCCAGACCCGGAACCCGACATCACGGCAGGAGAAATGAACCCTCATCCCGCGACATGAAGTCCTGAACCCTAGATCCTGACGTCAACCGAGACTTTCATGCTTCCGCAGCTTCGGAGGTGAGTGATCACAATTATCTGCAAGCCCACGATTGTGATTCAGTGTATAGTCTGGGGGTGTGCAGGGTGTAGGGTTTACGGTCGGGTTAGAGGTTCAGGAGTTTATAGGCCCTCAACTTTAGGGTCCTTGCCGTCTCCTAAGATCGGCTGCTGCAAAGCTCCCAGCTGTACCAACAGCAGCACGCCGCGGTCTCAGAGTGTAGCTTGGGCTTTAGGGATAAGAGAGTCCCATCTCCGCCTGATCGCCGGTTTCGTTGTGTTCAAACTGCCCGACCGTCGAAATCTCAGTACTCCAGAAGTCGGAACGAATCTTGCAGCCCCTTGACCCTACCGTTGGATAGCAGGGTTTAGGACGACCCGCCAAAGTAGCATCCCCTGGTTCGTCCCGGTTTGATTCAACCAAAAGTGGCCAGCATGCTTCGCCTGCAACATACTCCCCCGCAATCCTTTTCTCATTATCATGGCCCCAATGTCATCTTCGGAGAGACAAGGTCCAGTTGGTAAACTGTGCCGATTCTGCCGACTACCACTTCTTTGGTGCGCCCGGCTCCGTTAGCGCTCAAGGCTTGTAAAGGGTGTGCACAAGGTGTCTACTAGCGTGCATGCTCTAGAACACGGTCTCATTGTTTACACCTGGATTTAAGCCATGTAGGGTTTTCGCGCGTAGAGCTTGGATTGGTCAGCCCAATCGAGATACTTAGATCGCTCCGACCACGACAACTGGGACCCTCACTGCTCGTGCAAAACCGCCCACGGGGTCGAATGCTCGAGAAGGACAGGGATAATGCTGACCTGTGCACATAGAAGAAGATAAAGCCAGAGCGTTTGGCCGGCTGCAAATCACTTCGATTTTTGCACCGCTTGTGGCTTTTCATGATTCATGTCATGGTTCACCACCGCCGACGAGTGCGCCCCTGCTAGTGCTACTGCCGTTGCTACTGCTACAGGTGATGATGATGATCATGGTGATGATGACGGTGATGAGGATTATGATGATGATTAGGGTCATGATGCTGCTGGTCACGCTGAGATTGTCGTCATAGTGATGGTGGTGGCAACGGCGTTGGCGGCAGCTGTGGTGATGGTGCTGCCGGTGGGAGTGATTGTCGCGAGGAGGACGAAGATGAAGACGACAGTGATGATGACCGAAGTTCAAGTGGCAACGACGGCGGCAGAACGTGCCAGAAGTGCCCGATTTCTTGTGTGCCCCACAACAGGCCAGCCCTGCAATTGACCCCAAAGCCCGCGCTGCAGCCTACAGCATTAGTATTAGCCAGGCCTGTGTCCGGACTGTTCGGAGCACGTGCCTGGGTGACAATGGTTTTCGGGCTTCGCGCTGCTTCAGGTTTAAGGGAGTAGGCTTGTGAAGGCAAAGGTGGGCCACAAACAGATAATCTTGCAAATGCCACTTGCTCACTGGCTAAATTTACGCTGGGGGTGTCGTGTTCTGTTTTGTTCTTGATGGTCTGTCGGTACAAGAAGGAATCGAGAGGGCACTGGCACTTCAGGTCGCGGCACAAAAGTTTCTGCTCTTGTGTTGGTCAAAGGTCATGGAATCGGCAGCTCTTGCAAAAGTCGCCGCTAGTTGCAGCAACTGGGAGCGACTATGGCGAGAAATCGTCGAAACTAATTGTGCCGTGACCGTTCCTTCCTGCGGCAGAGCAAGAAAAATCAATGTTCGATTCGTCAATGTAAAGCCAGAATTAAAGAAGGCAGTACCACCAGGGTCCATGCAGCCGAGACAGTCCTTTGAATCTAAAGCTTGCACGTATCCTGCACAGGATGCTGGGTACTTACTGTAATCGAGATCCGCAGTAGAAAACCCCACCTACTGAAGCCAAGAAGCCGGACTGTCTGAATTTTCTCGCAGCCTAAACCCTAAACCCTAAACCCTCTAAGCCCTAAACCCTCTAACCCTCTAAACCCTAAACCCTCTAAGCCTTAAACCCTAAACCCTCTAAACCCTCTAAGCCCTAAGCCCTAAACCCTAAACCTTACGTCTCTTGCAGCAAATCCCAGGACCTCGACCTTGCATACCGGAAGATGGCAAAGCAGTTGCACCCAGATAAGTCCCGATCTCAGAATCTTTGGCTACAGCTTTACAAAGGCTTGTGTACATGTACATATATATATACATATATATAGAGAGAGATATGTGTATAGATATTATGCATATAGGTATACTTGGTTATACGATTGTACTCAGTTTTGTGCTTGTCCAAGCTTCACATGGCTTTGATGCTGTTGATTTTCGTGCCTCAGTCTCACCAGACGGCCCAGGGCTCGGCCGACTCTCTTTGGGGCTTCAGGGGGTTCTAAAAGGCGCCAATTCCTCCTCGGCTACGTAGTCTCTGGCTAGTTCTTTCAATCGGGGGCGGGGGGGGGGGAGGGGGTCGCACTTGAGACTTTCTTAGCAATCTGACCTGAGCCCCGTTGCAGGCTCAGTGCTGCGAGTGGCTGCTTTTGAGGTGTTATGCTAAGCATGTCGGCATTTTGCCGGTTACGTGCTTCTGAAGCCTGTAGATTGTAGATGTGTCCTGTTTCTTGGCCGTGCAGATAAGGAGCCACCGCAGCTAAGGAAGCCAATCGAAGCAGAGTTCTTTCGCCCCCTTCTGCCACCTTCTCTTGTCCTAAATCCAAGTGGGCCGGAAACCTGGAGGACCCAAGCTTCATCCACCCCCCCGCCCATGTCAGGAATGGGGGAACTGAGTATGCCAAGAAGCGCTTTCAGAACATGAAGGACCATGACCATGGCACGGCTGGGGTGCAGAGGTTCACGGGCAGGCCAGTGTGAGACTTGGGATTTAGGGCTCAAACCCACGTCTATCCAAACCACTATGACGATTGGCACAGTTGCTAGCGGCGGCTAGCATGTCAGTAACTTCACGCTATGGCATGATGACTCTGAATTGAGACCAAAGTGTGGCTCTACTTCTTTTTGCAGACACAACCCAACCCCAGGGCTAGTTAACATGATGTGGGGGGTCCCTGTCTTAGGGTTCTCAGACGAAGGTTCCTGCAAGCTGGGTTCTTGTTAAGGGATTTTATTTAAGTTACCATAAATGGGGATCTATGGTAAATAAGATGGTTTCTTTATTATGGTAGCTACTAGGTATCCCCGGAACTCGGAAGCTTGCATATCACTGCGCTTCGACATCTTTGTGGCAGTTGCCTTGCTTTGACCTGTCGTCCTGGTAAAACCGACCGGCTTTCCCGGGGTTTAGGGTTGAGGCTTTAGTTTCGTGAAACTCAAAATGTCAATGTGAAATTTCGTCGCCACACCCGTCGGGACTGCCAAGGTGCTTTCCTTCTTCAGCAAGGATTCACCTACAGTCTCCATTGTAGTTCCTTCTGTTGGTTCACAAATTTTATATTCAGGATCCTAAAAGGGAATCCCAAACAGGAACTACAATGGAGACTGTACGAGTAGGCTCAACGTTCAAAGACCACCCGACATCACTTGCAGGAGCGCTACGAGGCGCTGAAGCAGCGGCGCCAACAAGGCAAGGAAAGTGCCACGCGAGAGGTTTGTTCTCATCTGAACATCTTAACCTCCTAACCCTATGCTTCCAAGGACCTTATAGTTAGGGGCCTAGGCCCATGAGGACCCAATAATTAGGGCCCTGGAAGCATAGGGTAAGGATTAGTTACTAGTAAGACTTAGTAAGAGCTTCAAGCGGCCTCCATGAAGGTTGCACAGGCATGTCTGCTCAACCTGGTTTATCCCGGACCCGAAAAAAACTTACGGGCTCAGGCATCAGGTTCTTGTTGACCACATATACTGGGGCTGAAACATAAGTTCGTGAAGGGTTGCATGACAGAACCCGAGAGAACCCCAAAATCTCATCAGAGGCCCCAGGCACTGTCAACCTTGAACCCTGAAAAGATAACTCCGGACCTGCGAGGCTGTCAGGGGCCCTCTGAGAAGGAGGATTGGCACTCAGTTGCTGGGATTCATGAGGTTGCCTTTCAGATTCCAGGTCTTGAGGCTTAGGACTGTAGACCTCCGTTTGTTGTGCTCCGGGCGGTCAGCACGTAAGCTGGCTGCGTTGCCTTGCTGTCTTCCTCCCCTGGGCGACTGCTTGCGCAAAGCAAGGAAATATGTAGAAGCCTGGACGGTTACCAATGTTATTCCCTCGGGTTCCGTTTTATAAACTCCAATTTCACCCAAAAACCCCCAAAAAACAGGCAACCTATCTTAAATACTTGGAGACCCGCAACACTGAAAGGATTGGACCAGGATGAGGCTCTCAGAAAACCGGTAATATAGGGGACTTAATTATTAGATCAGGCTTCTACATTATTGGAGATCCTGTACGGCAGCAACTGAAGATAGACAGTGTTATCAGAGTAGTTTGGGGCACTATAGAATTGAGCGGTGAGGCTGTGGTATTATGACAAAATCAGAACCTGCAGCTTTTCTTCTTGAGGACTCTTTGGAAGCAGGGCCAGTGTCCTGAAAATGCTACCCGACCAATTCTAAAACGCAACCCTAAACGGTGCTCAGGGTGACTTCGGGTGCTTTGCCGACCCTAAGCCCTAGTAGGGCTGAGAGGCCGTCGTTGGCGACCTGTTCCCAAATCACTTTCACATCATGATTTGATCCTTTGGTTCAGTCGGCATTTGCTGTTCTTGTCCAGCCCTGGTCTACGAGGATGGTCCCTGCCCCTCATGCATGAGTGTTTGGTCATGTCTATGGCTTCTGGTGAAATATGGTAATTATTCGATTCTTGCATGTTTCCGGGCTGTCTTTGTGTTGTTGTCTAGGAGCATCTCGCATCTTACTGTAGAAAATGTTGTACAGTCATTGTGCAACCGTGCCTGCTTGTGCGAGTGTGCGAGTCGAAACCCGAAAACCCCAAGAATCAGGTATCTTAGGTATCTTAAGGACCCGAGCTCACTCTGCCAAGGAGTCAACAGACAGGTCTGGGGCTCGGTGTCGCCAGGATTCCGCTCTACTTTAGTCCGAGTAAAGTTGCAAAGCAAGTGGCGAGTTGTTGGCAACAATCGTAGCACTACTATGTGTTATGGTAAGCGGCATCAACGTATGAGGAGAGTCTTCTCGCCTTGATAGGTTGCCAAGGGTTCGGCGCGAGACGTCGGATGTTTTGCTTTGAGCCCGGAGGAAACATGACATGTTACTGAGCTGCTGCTGCATTCTCAGACTCTGGCCCCGTTGGGTTTGAAGTTTGAGTTGTGCTGTTGCCGTGATGTAGTGATGTTGATTCGTAGCAGATGGCCTTTACGGTGCGCAAGCTTGAGAGTCGGCAAAATCTGAACTTGGGAGCTTTGGAGGGAGCGGCGTTCTCCGCCGTAGCATATACCGTAGGATTCATGCAAAGACGGACAATCACATCCTGCGTGTAGTCGATGCTCGCGGCTACTGCGCAGACAGCTTTCCGGTGTCGGTGGGGCGGGTCTTGACCCTAAGCCATCCCAGCGCATCCGAAGCTCCAGACATTTCGATTTTCGGCATCCAGGCAACCTTGTAAAAAGATCTAACCTGGAAATCGGATCCTAAACTCTGACCCCGAAAGCCCCCCTAAACCCCTAATCCCTGAACCCTAAACCCCTACAGAGCCCTACAGAGCCCTACACCCGACATCGGTTGCAGGGAAGATCCGGAGGGTGCGGAGGACAATGGGAGGACTGCACTTCTGACCTAGAGCAGACTCGGCTCTGACTGCAAATGGGGCTTTCCGAAAATCAGGGGGTACCTTAGTTTGGGGGTCCTTATGATAAGGATCCTACCATTTAAGGTGCTATATTCGGGTCCCCTATTTTCGGAAACCCCCCAATATTTCGGCACCTTGGAGTTGAATCAGGCCTTAGACTCTCCGAAAGCAAACTCAGCTGCTGATTTCAGAGTATGAACACGCGAGGATAGCTCGTCCGAAGTGCCAGAGGCCTGTAGTGTTTATGGATCATTTGCCATGACTGGGCGCAGCGCACGCAGCATGGGGTCTGGGCCTCGAGGCTAGGGTTCTTGAAAATGAAAAGTTGCAGCCTTCCAGTCGTTCTGACTATGAGTTGGTTCGCTCATGCTCACTTACTTTCTAGTCTGTCCCATAGGGCAGAGATGTCTTACCGAAAGCCCTCGAGACCTCAAGCGAAGACCCCCAAACCCTACCCCCAAACCCTGAACAAAAAATACACTAAACAAATTCTAAACCCTAGACCTTGATGCCACCTTCAGAACTCCAAGGAGGAAAGGATCGGACCCGACTAGCTGACCAGCTCAAAGCCCACACCCTAGACCCCTAGACGTTGACCCCTTCGCCTCCAGGATTGAATTCGATCCGGCCGACCGGTCCTCTCTGGATCAGACCGCCACTTCGCCTGCAAGGGAGGTTTGAGGACTTAGAATTGGGGGTTTGGGGTTCTTATATACTAATAATTAATGGAGGGTTGAGGTTTGGCGAACTTGATTGGGGGTTTAGGGGTTTAGGGTTTAGGATTGGGGGTTTAGGGTTCTGTTAACAATAAGGGTTGAGGGTGCTTCCGGGAAAACAGCGTCGGCGCAGATTTCTGGGCTCTGGACGGGGTTTCGCAGTGCATTTTCTACCCGAGGATTCGAGTTACTTCGACTGCGCACAGACCAGAACGTTTCAACATGTTTCAACCGTCACACGACTTTGTCATGTATTGGCGACACATAGTGAGGCCGGTGATGGGGAGGCGAAAGACTCATAAGCCACGTATTGTTGGGCTGCAAGGATTCTACGAAAGGCTTCGTGTGTAAGGGAATTAAGGGCTGTTTTGAGGGTTACGACCCCAAACTGCTCAACCCTGAACCCTGAGAAAGTCGGCCCAGGTTTGGAAGATGCTCCACCAACTGCGCACGTTGAAGGAGGGCTTGGAGGAGCCTTGAATGCAGAGGGCAGAAGGGGCTTCGACCGCGGAGCGCGGGGGGCTTACTTCGGGTTGAGGGCGGAAGGGGCGACGCTTCCGGGGGTTACAGTAACGGGAAAAGGCGCGGGGGTTCTGGGGAAAAGGTTCGGAGCATGCGGTGTTTAGGTTGTGGATCTGCATAGGGCTTAGCGTTTTGGGATGCTTAGCTTCAAGCTAGCATTCGGTATTGCATGGCCACCTGCAGAAGTGAGACCGGATGGCCGGCAGGTGGCGGGTAGGAGGTGCACTGACTTCCATGGAACCGCCAGCAGAAGGGTAACTTCAGCAAAACAACGTTGCTGGGCCCGCTTGCCATTTTCAGCCCATGGGCCGCTGCAAGAAATGGTTAGTTGAAAAGATATGACTGTAGATTATGGAGTGTAAGGTTACGATATTTTTTTTGAATAGGTTGAGGGCCTGAACCCGCAACCGCCCCAGAATCTCCTCAACGTTTGGGGTCGTCATGCTCTTGGAAACTAGGATCTTCCGCCGGTTTTATTCTCCCTGTTGACTTTTCCTGGAACCCTAAACCCTAAACCCTAAACCGACTGCAGGAGATCGCCAGACGACTGAGCAAGTGCCACAGGCGCTAGGCCATCCTACGCCATAGACGGCGCTAGACAAGCTGATCCCGGAAAAAGTTCCCGGCTCTTCTTCTAGAGTTTAGGGTTTTAGGGTTTAGGGTTTAGGGTCTAGAGTGGGCAAGGGAGGATAGGAGAGCGATTGATTGAATTGACACTGGCAAGAGCACAGCGGCTCGTGAAAGCAGCTTTGCCAGGATCCCGGGATGAATCAATAGTAGGATTCTTCAATCTTGCACTGGGCCCACGGGCCATAGCTGCCGAAGAAGGACAAAGCCACAAGCTTAAGGAAAAAGGCTCAGACCGGTTGAAACTCCAATTAGGGTTTAGGGTTTAGGGCTCAAACTCAAGCGATCAGTACAAAGCGTGTTTCCATCAGCAGGCGAGTACCCTGAAGGACGCACAAGTCAACGTCAAGGCTTCCCCTTTACTCCAGGGCTCTCAGGAATGCTGGGCACTGTCATGCTTACAGTGCCCCGAAAGTGGAAAGTGGCCTTGTTGTACCGACCTTCGGCAGCATTCTGTCTTCTCCATGTTTTCGTGCACAAGACCTCCTGGAACTGCAATAGGTGACCCTAAACCCTGTCTTTGTCCCCAAAACGACAGAGTGACTTCGGCATTGTGTTTCGTGTCTACGGCTTGGTTGGTCGAGTGATCTACGATCTTGTTTTCTATCATAAGCACCTGCCGATGCTGAGCTTGGGCCACGTGCATACAAGAGGCACATGTGCTCAGATTGGGTTAAGAAGCTTACGTCCCACAAAGGAGCTAGCTTGCGAAAGCAGATGTCTTGTGCCGCGATATGCTCCGTACAAGACGGAACCTGAAATTCAATCCTGCATGTGCACGAAAAGTCCACTGTGTTGAGGAAACAGTTCCAGAGTGCCAACTGTGGACTTGCACGTGTTTGGCTGCATTGACAGCCATCTTCTCACAAGCAAATGAGCCAGCAGTTCAAGGACCAAAAAGGCTTTGGCTGCAGGAATAATAAAGGTTTTGGTAACTAGAACTTCAATCGCAGACACTTCTAGTCGGGTGACTTCTTTGAAATCTCGCTGCAAGTTTCCTCAGGACCTGCGCGACACTATCTCCGACCTGTACACACGAAGGTTCTTGCGCGCGACCCGGGACAATACATAGATGCCCCGCACAAGTTTGAGCTACTGTTGTGCCCAATTCCTCAGATCAGTGAGAATAGTGAGACACGCAGCAAGCGTTGACAATTTTGCGTTTTGTTTCATCAGCCTGTTGAGCCTACCCCTAGCCGGATGCCAGTGAACGTGGCAGAAGCGCTGAGCCTAGCCTATGACCTTGCACTGCAGACTACCTGGCATCGAACGCCGCAAAGACCCATTGAGCCCGAGGAAGTCGGGTTTCGGGCTTTGTGGCCCGAAATCGTGATGTGTAAGCCCGTGAGCGACACAATGCTGGGAATGCTTAGTCCAAGACCTTGCCCCGTAATATTTCGTTCTGCTCCTCTTGTCAGCTGCACGACTTTCTTCGGTGTTAAGCTTGCTGCTTGCTTGTTGTCATGCTATTTGTAGGGCTAGCCTGCGCATGCAACAGGGCTGTTGGACAGTTTGTACCTGGCTCGCCCGGAAAGTGCCCGGCTAGCCGCAGCCGATGCACACGCATTTTCATGCGCACACACATGTGTGGGTGTGTGCACATGCATAGCCGCATGCATGTGTTACGAGCTTGAGCTTATCCATGCCCCAATCAAAACAGTTGAAGCCGCATCAGGGTCTCATGGAGGGTGCGGGCAGCAACAGATTGCACAGGAGCTCGTGGGTCCTCTATTGTACAGTGTGTGGTCTGCAGTTCAGAAGAGAGCCCTTGCCGTGGAATATGTGAGCAACACTGCTGAGTGGAGCCATCCGTTGTCAAGTAGACACTCGAGTCTCTTGAATTACTACACCTCCCAGACCCGGTTTGCTGCGCACGATCATAACGTTTCCGTTGGCGAAAGGCGCAGCTGATACTTGTTTGCCTGGTACCATGGAAAGCCTCGCGCCGTCCTCTATCCTTGTACTTGTGCAAGCGGACTCGTCGAGGCAATGCAGTTGCAATCAGATCACACCTCGTGCAGCCAATTGAAACAATACAGACCATGCAAGGTCTCAATAAGGTGCCTACGGCTCAGTGCAGTGCCTGCTCGATATTCCGCCATGACTCGAATGCAGCGGCGCTGTGTTGCCTTCGTCCTCGGCGTGGAAGTTGAGGGGCTTCGTCATGCAAAACTTGGCCTTGAGATATTGGCGGCTGCTTGCAGGAAATCTCCGATGTTCAAGGAGGTGGCGCTGCTTTAACTTATGCCTGATAGACTCGGCACGGTTTTGTCAGTGATGTCTGAGGGTAGGCTCATTGTGTTTTAATGTCCCTGACTGAGGAGGACGTGCACGTGCACTCTGTGCAACGAGGATCAGCTATGCGGAGCAAGGTGTTGAGAGATCTGGAGGACAAGGTTGCACAAGTCTTCGACTCACTGGAAGACGATGCTATTGTGCTTGCCTTCTACATTGGGCATGGTTCCCTCACGCTGGAGGGCTACACGAAAGTTCACGACTTGCTTTTTCAACTGGAACCGCGTCTTCTCAGCCAAGCTGCTCCCCTGCTGCAGCTCCATGTCTCGTGCGTAAAGTTTTCCCGGTATAAGAGATCGGAGCAGAATCCAAGGTGACGACATCGCACCGACGACTCACAATCGTAACTCTCCCATTTTGCTGTCGACGGAGAGTGTCAGATCCTCCGTCATGGCCGAACGTTCAGCCTTTGCTGCAGGAGTTTGGGCAAAACCAGATGGGAGAATTCTTCCCGCGGACCAGCTGCAATTTTGACATGCAGCCCTTGCAAGGAACGGCAAAAACATCAAGTAGCCCCGGGTAGTATAGTACTGTATAGGTTACTTACAAGTCACAAACGATTGCAACTGACTCTGGATGTTTATCCCCAACTCCGAGGTTTCAAATGTGCGCTGACGGAAATGAAATCCCCGATTGCTTGGTTGCGGAAGTAGCGATGGCCCGACTTCTGTGCAGACCTCCAGCAAATCTGCAATCCCTTTTCAGAAAATTCCGCGATGATGTCCGCACGTACACCTGGAAGCACATCGAGCCACAGTCTGCGTTCTTCAACCATGCGGAGATAATCTGGCTGCATGAGAACCCCACCTCACCTCCCCGACAAATCTTGCCCGAGTCGGCAGTGGATGCCGGGGCAAGAGCGGTTTTACTGGCTAGGCATTTTCACGAACTTTCGAGGGAGCGCATCCACGAGCTACATGAGCTTGATGATGTCGACCAAGTTCTTGGTTGTATCGACCAAGTTCTTGGTGGTATCGACCTAGTCCTCTGCACTCTAGCGCCCCTGCTTCTAGCATGCAGTCATCGGCTTGAGACTTCCTGGCACAGTCAGTCACAGTCAGTCAGTGTGTGTGTGTGTGCGTGCGTGCGTGCGTGCGTGTGTGCGTGTGTGCCTCTACGAGGTATACGTAAATGCTTATCAGATCTGGACAAGATTCTCTAGCCAGGATGCAGGCTTCAGGGTTTGAGCCCTTTACCCGATGAGGTTTCGCCTCCGCGGAGCCTCGTGGCTTACGAATCTGGAAGTTCAGCTCGCTGCTGTGCAAACTGGTAGCTTGCGGGAGGCTTGCGGCGTGCTTTGGGCCGTGGCAGAGCAGCCGGACATCACAGAGGAGGAAGTGGATGCAACGGAGTCGTGGACAAACATTTCGCCAGAATGCATGGATGAACTCTACATGTCCATTCGTACCTGGAAGGATTTCCCAGAGACACTAGACGCCATTCCCGTGTTGATGGGTCTCATGAACTTTCTGACAATGGATGACGGAGACCGCGACGAAGCTCAAAGGAGGGTCCTGATCGATAGCACGAATTGGCTCGCCAGCCAAATCGGCTTAGAGTTCAACCTGCCTCACCGACGTGCGCTAGACTGCCGCCACCTCGCGCACGCTTACTTCCACGAACCAGTCAAGCCAGTCACAGCAGCCCGCTTGTTCGTTACACGCTAGGGTTTTCCAGGTAGCACTTTGAATCCCTGACATGTATTGCAGCTCGTGACCAAACGAATTGCGGCATAGACGTATCGAGACGGTCACGGGATTCTCGTTGACTGGTTTTTGCCACATCTACAGACTTGAAGCTGAGAGGAAAGCCACAACGACATACTACACTTGTCCCAGGGTTAATTTTAGACTTGCTTGAACAAGCTTTAAGACTTTCCCTGCGCATTGCATCTGAGGCTTAAACACACCTCGGAGATCTTAGCTGTGGCGATCGTTGTCTGGTGGCAAGGCCTTAGTGAAGACCGGCAAGGTGAGACTGAAGATGCTGTCCCCAAAGATTTCTTTGTTTACTGCTGATTAGTTTCTAGCAAAGCTAGAGGGGACTGGATGCAGTACCGAGAGCACGAGCCGACCTGGCATGAAAAGCTCTTCATTTGCTCTGGCGACCAAGCAATCACGTCCGCTCAGAGGGAGTCTTGATTTGCAGCTGTGCGGTTCACGACTTTAGTTTTACCTGGTTCGCCTTATCGTTTCGCAGAACTCACGGCGGAATGACATTGTCGGGATTGTGTAGCCTCCCTCAACCAACATCAACCTGACATGGCTCAACGGCAAGGCTTCACCGCTTGAAGGCTGGCTTTGCATGTCCGGCTCAAAGTTAAACCATGAGGAAAGTTGTCCACCTCAGGGATGGACAGATCAGGAGATATCTTCGCCAGATAAACTGCTACAGCGCATCATTGAGCACGGACCTCGCGTTTTTAGCCAAAAGACTTAGAGATACGCCTAGAATTGGATTTCGAGTCCCCTGCATGTAGTCTCAAGTAAACCCCAACCGAGCCTTACCCGGCACCCCTACACCCTAAACCCTAAACCCCAACCGAGCCTTACCCTGCACCATGAACATCCATGAACGCAAACTCCTTGACCCGCGGTCCGATTCCCGGTGCTTGGATCGGCTGCAGCACCGGACTACGCATGTAGCCATGGCAGAGGATCGGACCACATGATCTCTGCAAAAGAACATGAGAGGAGATGCGTCTTCATTGACTCCGTCCCGGGGGAGACAGAAGAGCTGAGGAAAGCGGCATGCGAATCAGGAGTTTTCCACAAGGTGCACCTGCAACCCTACATCGTTTCAAAGTCCTATTCAAACCAACCAAATAGTAAATAGTTACTAAGTGCACATGACCCCGGCACGTGCCTGGCTGGCCCTGAGGTGCTCTGTGCAGAGGCTACAGTTTCCAGCATACAGTCGACGATCCAGGAAGCCATGCAGACACTGCCGCCTGAGTCTTTGGTCCTCGTCTTCTACTCTGGTCATGGTTTCTGCCCAGAGGGTCAGGGGAATACCTTCATAGTGCTCGAAGATGCAGAGGGCCGGTCAGAATGCTTTTCGCTGGAGCACCAGCTTGCCCGCGAGGTTGCCTCTCGGCTGAAGCCAGGGTGTGTGTCGAGCAGAGTGCATAGGTTGCCTAGTTCTGGTTGCACCCTTGAGCCCCAAACTAAGCCCTATACCACACCAAGCTCTTGAGCGAGGCTTCGCCAGAGCGGAGAAGACACTATCTTACTGTTTGTTGTATTTGCATCGGCCCGCTCTTCGACTGGAAGCACTGCATCTTTTCCGAAGAAGGGTCGAAGAGACCGCCAGAACGGCCACGGATCGACTGGTGTGATACAGATCTTTTTCTCCTGCCCCTGGCTGCATGATTAATCTTTGTGCTGAAGTACCGAAAACTCTCCACCCTTCACCCCGTTTTGATTCTGACAGCGTGAACTGCTTCTCCCCAGTTCCTTGGGCCCTCAGAGACTACTGTTTCTTTAGCGCAAGCGGGGCACAGATGCACTTTGCTTGCCAGGTTTTATGCGTGTCCCCTGCATGCGGCACTTCTGGATTGCCAATTGGTTCGGACGGCAGTCGCCCACGTGCTGGGCTCTTGTCTGGACAGCTTTCAATCTTTCTTGCTGATGCTCAAGGACGAGATACGACATATGTCACTGGGCTATGTGGAGCCCGACTTCTTCAATGGCGACTCCCTGAATGCAAGATCAATCAGCATGCAAAGATCCTCTTCCCCATCATATCTCCAGCCCATCATGACGGCATCCGTGTTTGACAAGCTTATCCAGGCACCTTTGCTTCGCAGGCATCTGTCTATTCTCGTTCGCAACGAGCTCAGCGAGGGTGTAGAATATCCGGCCATTCGCCAGAGCCTGGTTGACACGGCAGCCAAACTGCTGCCTGACGCAGATATTGGCACAGGAATCAGGGTTGTGTTTGATTGCTGGGTTTGGGGAGAAGTGCTGAGCTCCTGAGGTTTGTTGTCTAATCGGACAGATCTGCAGATTCTGTACTGGCTTTGCTGAAGAGCTGATAAGTTCATCAGTCGAGGGCGTTTTCTACACAGACGCCGGTGTGTTGTTGTCGAGGCAGAATTCGGCGGAGGCCAGCATGGAGAACCAGCTGCAAGCTTTGCAACAGAGCCGACTGGTTGATGTTGCTCGAGTGTTCGAATCTACCACGAGGACCTACCACTCGCCTTCGTATACAGCTCACAGGGCACTTGAGACAGTTTCCTGCGAATCGCTGGACTGCATCATCGCGGCTGTGAAAGAAGAGTTGGCAACTGAGGACCTGCTGCAAGTATCCAGCTCCGTTTCTAATCTTCTTTACCACATGCGCGTCATGATGGATGTAGCTCCTCTTCGACGCGAAATCCTGGCAGAAGATCTTCTCGCACGCGGTCCTAGACCTGATTGGGACTACGTGCTCATTCCTGGCCAAGAGCCTGCTGCCCTGAGCCGCGGTGAGCAGATGCGATTCACGGAGAAGGTTCAAGAGCTCCTCGCCTCCACGAAATTTCAACCTTCTTCGCGCATTCTTCTGGCGCGTGGATGTATTTGGCTCATGGTGGGCTCTGGCTTGGCTGATTCTGAGAAGCAGCTCTTCGAACGAAGCCTGCTAGAGCACATTTTGGACCGCAAGGAGCGGACCACAATGACTTTCTGCATGCTGGGTTCATCCGTCTTGTTAGGGTTGTGAGTTAAGGGTTCAGTTCCGGGCGAGAGAAGCCTGCTGCAAGAGGGGTTCATTATATCGAACCTGCATTTTGCCTTGCGTAGCCTAGCTTTCCAAATGCCGCCGCGGCACTACTCCGCGGCTCTGTAACCTATGCAGAAACCCTAAACCCCGTAAGCATTTGAAGAAGCAGCAGGCTGACCCCAGAAACCGACACGCCTGGACCCGTCGACCCTTCGGAGGCCAAGTCACCCAGCTGGACCTTTGCGCGCCCACCCCAATTCAAGCCGTTCGCGATGGTGCCCCTTGGGTTGCTGAACCTGGCTCCTGATCTCTGTTCAGTCCTAGCTCGGAGCTTTGAGGGAAGGGTTCTAGAATCTAGAGGACAGATGAGCCGGTCCCAGCACGTGGCTAAGGTTGCCTTGGCGGGCGCATTGCTACCGAAAAGTAGTACGTTGGATGGTGAAGCTTGCTGGCTACACGTGGCAGAATTCAAAAAGCTCGTCAGGTGACTTTGCTAACGCAGCAGCTGTCTTCTCGTACTGTTTTCTTGGGGCTTGAGCAGTCCGAACTGCTGTGGGTTCCCGTTACTTGAGTGAAGCTCTAGGCAACTGCCTATGCGTCTTACCACTCTTATGAAGTCAGCTTGGGAATTTGGGGTTTGGGATTGAGTTTTTTGGTAAGCGGGAAGTCCGAAGTGCTGTTGAAGAGAACATGGTAGTCGCGAGGCCCGAGACGGGACGGATGCCAAGGACTTGGATGGATGCAGGCGGCTTCAGTCCTGGCATACAGTGGCGTGGTTGGCATGTCCAGCTTCTGCATCGGGGGCGTCTACTGGAGGATGTCGAGTGGCTCCAGCCTCTTTCCGGCACCATGGGGGCTGCTTTACAAGCAATCCTCTCAGGGTTCTATAAGTTCTGTACGGAAGCGGGCGTTGCAGTCGAAGGCCCCTCTCTTTTAGACTTAGGGCTTGTGGCCCAGACCTCCTCAGCGCAGGTCCACGTCGGACCTTCGAATCGTTGCAGCGCCTACCTTGTCATCGCCAGAATTCCCAGCTGTTGCAGCTGCGTTATGTGCTCCCGAAGACTTATTTGGGACACTGCAAGTATTCTTTGAGAGCGAAGTCGACGGAGGGGAGTGGCTGGCAAGCTCGGTCTTCCCGGACTTTTTTGCCAAGAGACTTGCCCAGTCCAGCAATGACGCAGGGGTCAGGCACAAGGTTTCCAGCTTCGGGTGACCGAAGGAGTGCACACCACTCGCTTCCACCCTTCGTGGCCCACCCTTACTGACCTGAGTGGATCGTTTAATCCATCTGCAGGCTGCAGGTCGCAGCAGAGCCACTGCGACTTTCTGGGTGAGTTCGGGCCTTTCTTTGGATCAAGGTTTTAAGGCTTGCATGAGCGCATGCGGTTCTAGGCCTAGGCCTCTTAAGGCCACGAGTTCAAGGGCAAGAACCCAGCGGGAACAGCAGCTTTGGCGACATGTTTCGTTTGCTACCAAGGATCTGCGAGATACTTCGAGGCAGGCAAGAGACAGAGAGGAGCTAGTGAAGTAGTCGTTCGACTCGGCTTTTGCGCATTGCCCCCGAAGCGACAGCACAAAGGAGCTTAAGATTTCACATGCAGCAAAAGGCTGCACAACCCATGGACAATGCGGGTTTAGATCGGCAAGCAGCACCAGCTTCTGTTTCTCGCGTACAGGCACTCTCGATTGTTGGGACTGCAGCAGCTGCTATTGCGGATCTAGGAAGTATTCTGAATTCTGATCACACTATAATGTCCATTGATATTCTAAAGAAAACTGAGACAGACTCAGATACACAGCAATATGTTACAATTTTCATAATATACTGGAGCATCCTCGCCAGGTGAAGATGCCCGTCGATGCCTCGAACCTCGTGCCCTGCGCAAACATGTCTGGAAGGAGCGTGCAGTTAGTTTTTTTTTTCCATGGGTGCTGGGGGCTCAGGGTTTACAGTGTCTGAATTTGAGAGGAGCTACTACGACACGCTGGAAGCCTTCCTACCAGAGAAGAGTTAGCAGCTCCAATGGACGCAGGGAACTTCGGCATGCATTCAGAAGCATTTTCGTGCACAGTCCGGCTCGGGCTTCCTCCGAGTTGCAGTTACAGTACGTGCCATGGACCTGCCCTTTCGTGACATGGGACTTTCCGAAAACTCGGGTACCATATTTTGGGGTCCTGATAGTCAGGATCCCACGATTTAGGGTACTATATTAGGGTCCCCTATTCTTTCGGAAACCCCCACATAGCTCAGGTATGCAGAAGTTTCTCCTCAGCCTGGCAGTAGCACCTCGGCTCGCATCTCATCCATCCCATTGTCGCGGATCTCAGCAGCAAAGCCTTACTACTGGGTTCTTGTTAGGGGGTTTAATTTAAGTAACCCAAAAATAGAAGCCACATTATTTACAATAGATCCCCATTATGGCAATCTAAAAAAAGCCTTTAACAAGAACCCAGACTAAGCCCCAAAAGAACGGAAGCCTGCGAAAAAGAGACCGAGATTTGCCCCCCTGGCCAAAGGTCCTAAGGATGAGGTCACGTCGCTTCTGGAACAGCTATCACGCTTCCCAGCCTCAAAGAGCTGGTTCTTGAAACTTCTGGAAGTGCCTTGGCAGATCCTGGGGGACATTGACTTGTAGTCGTTGCTGAGAGTTTTTTCAGGGGGGTTCCCTGGCAGTAGCGGATCAGGTTGAGGCATTGTCGGGTTCTGCTGGGTCGCAAGACCGCGGGCGTTCCTCAAAGAGCCTGTGTGCTTATTCGTCTGCAGCATTTTGAAGGAGGGCGTACCTGCCATCCAAAATCTTATCTTGCATAGGATTCGCACTCCATTTAAGCTTGCGCACGTGTGTCATGCTGTCCGTGCTTGATGACGAAACCAGGTAAAAGAGCTCTCCCAGGCTGAATCTTTCTCGGACCTTCTCGAAGTTGCACGCGGATTATCACAGCCTGTGGCCACGAGAGGATCTTCAAGTGCCGATATCGAGGACGAGATCGATGAAGACTTATCGCAAACCCTGCAGAAGTTGTTTGATGACATTGGCAGTGTCGGCGTTGAACAGGCGATTAGCGGCTTCATCGAAGAGTGGAACTAGGCAGGCCGCAACAGATTTGCAGAGTTAGGAATCTAGTCAGGCTAGTCTGCTCATCCATCATAGCTTACATCTTCTGGCAGATGCTGCAACTCAGAAGTTCTGCTACTGTGGCGGATGGGGTTGTGTCTCCCAGAGGTGGCCTGAGCTTCCAACTGGAGAGCTGGCTCCACATCAGAAGCGGCACAGATTCTGATTGATTGAGATCCTTTAGGCCAGAACATACAAGAACCCAATGGCCTTCCTCGTCACTCTTGAAGAAGAGGGCTGGGTACGTCCACAATAGGCCGGACAAGATGGAGCATGGCCTGCTGAGACCGACGGGGTGTGGTGTGGCCAGTGGCCGGGCCACCGGTCGTTGAAGCAAGCTTTATGCGTAACATGATTTGCAAGCTGAGCTGAGGCGACACATAAGCTGTCGTTGTTGCCGTTTCTCAGCGAAGTCAAGTTGACCCTTTTGTCCTGTGTATATTATTCGAAAAACTATTTAATTAAAAATATCCCATTTACTGCCACGACTTTCGCATCATTGATATTCTCAAGAAAATATTTCAGCCATTACATGAGATTAATTTTTCGACCGTCCATATTTCATGATTAAGAGAAAACGGCGTATATATAAATATAGAATTATTAGACAAATATTTTTAAGATTAATTTTCTTTTATAATTATAAGATCTGCATATATATATATATACATACTATATAAATATACAGTACGATTTATTACGACTAGAAAGTGCCTAATAATACCCGAAATACGATGTGTTTTATCCAAGAGTGGCCTAGAAAGAATTATTAAAATTCGGGCATACGATTCGATATGGTTAAGACCGGGCCTTAGTCTACTCTTGATTGTAAGAAATCGTATTGGCGGGATATTTCTGGCCTAGTCTTGGTCGTTAATTCTTTCTGGTCTAAATTCGGCTATATTAAATCGTGTTATCGGGCTTTGGTAGTTCTTTCTAGCTAGTTCTTGGTTTTTATAAATAGTATTTTCCGCTCTTGATTATTCTTTCTGGTTATACTCTTATTGTAATTTGAATAAATCGCACAATTTGGTCTTGATAATTTCTTCTAGTCTATGCTTGGTCATGATTAAAAGTATTCTCGAGTCTTGATGACTCTTTCTAGTATACTCTTAGTCGTAATAAATCGTACTTTGCCATGAAATTCTTGTTGCTTTCTCTTGGTGATTTTTTCTGGCCTACTCTTCCGTATAACAAATCGTATTGCTGGATCTTGGTGACTCTTTCAAGAAAAGCCAACACGCCCTGGGAGCAAGATTCTTACGGGGAAGATTGGGTTAGTAAGAGTCATTACGACTCGATAGTCCCAATAAGACAGAGCGGGCAGTACGATTTGTCACGTTCAAAAATGAGCCAGAAAGAGATATTAAGACCCGGGAGTATTCTTTTATGGCCAAGAAGGGGTTAGAAAGAATCATTGAGATTCGATAGTACGATTTCTTATGAATAATGATAAGTCGGATAGAAAGAGTCATTAAGACCCGGGAGTACGATTTATTACAAGTGAGAATAATAAGATTAATATAATTTCTTACGATTAAAATTGGGCTAGAAAGAATTAACAAGATCGGACAGTAGGGTTTTAAGACCCGATAATACGAATTATTACGATTGATGAAGACTAAATAAGCCCCACGAAGACCCGGCAACAGGATTAGAAAGATTTATTCAGACCTATTAATTCGATTTGATATGGTTATGAATGGACTGGCAAGTTCTGATAATACGATGTCTTGCGGCTAAAAATTATTCATAGTCTAGAAAGAGTCATTAAAATTCGATAATACGATTTATAATGATTAAAGATAAGTGAGAAAGAAGTCGTAGCATTTGTAGTATATTTATCACGATTAAAATTGAGATAGAAAATATTATTAAGTCGTGATTATATTAGTCGTATTACGAGATTTTGATGGTTCTTTTGATTAATTATTATGAGTTATATCTAATCATATTATCGAGAATTATTGATCTTTTTGATCTATTCGTGGTCGTAGTAAATCATATTTTCAGATCGATCACGAATGAATCGTATAACAATGCGATTTATTACGATTAGGTAGGAAAAAAAGAAGAAGAATCTTTAATATCTCGAAATATGATTTGATACGACTAGAGTGGTTAGGAAGATTTTTATGAGAAAAAATGGTTAGAAAGAGATATTAAGCTCGGATAATAAGATATATTCAAATTAAAAAATTTAGAAAAAAATATTTGAGATCTTGTTGAAAGATTTATTATCGTCAAGAATGAATTAGTAAGAGTCATTGAGATTCGATAATATGATTTATTATGGTTTAGAATGGATTATTTGCAATTAATAAGGTCCGATAGTCACGATTAGATACGATTGAAATTGAGATTTAGAATCGCTAGGGTTCGATAATATGATTTATTATAATCAAGAATAGATTAGAAAGAATTTTATATTATGATTTGTTATGGCCAAGAATAGAATTTAAATTAAGATCTGAGGATAAGGTATTTTATGATTCAGATTAGATTCGTCAAGAATCGAAAATTTCTTTTTTTTTCGATTAAGAATGAGTCGTCGAGATTCGGTAAAATAATTTGGTATAAGATGATTTCTTATGATCTAATATGGACTAGAAAGAATCATCAATATTTGATAATATGTCTTTTGGATTAGAAAGATGCAACAAGATCTGGCAATACGATTTGATACGATCAAGAATAGGCCAGAAAGAATTTCCAAGATCCGATAATGAGATTTATTACGGCTAAGAATGGACCTGAAAGAATTTTCAAGACCCGTCACTACGATTTGTCATAATCAAAAATTTTTCCAGAAAGATTCATTAATCCGCGGTAATACGATTTATTACAATTACGAATACGCCAGAAAGAGATATCAAGACCCGGCATTACGATTTATTACGATCAAGAATAGATTAGAAAGCGTCGCCAAGAGCCAAAAGCTTGATTTATCACAAAGAATGATTTACAAAGGGCCACTAAGGCCAGGCAATACGATTTATTATATGGATAAAAAAAGGTCATCAGATTTTCTACGGTCATAAATGGACTAGAAAGATCGATCAAGATCCGGCAATGTGATTTTGCTCAAATTCAAGATTGAAGAGAACGATTTAATGTGGATAAGAAGAAATCAGAAAGATCCATCAAGGCCCGGCAATAAGATAAATTTCGATCAAGAATGAGCCAGAAAGAACCGCCAAGATCCGAGAAAATGATTTAATATTTTCAATGAGGGATCAGAAAATATCAATAAGATTTGATAATTCGATTTATTATAGAAAAGAAAATATTAGAAAGAGCTCCCAAAATCAGGCAATACGATTTTTCATGCTCAAGAATGGACCAGAAAATATCAATAAGAAATATCAATAAGATTTATTATGATCAAGAACAGATCAAAAAATACCGGATCTTATAATTTCTTGAAGTCAAAAATAGATCAGAAATTATATTCAAGACCTTGCAATCGATTTATTTTGTGAAGAATAGGCAGGAAAAAATTACCAAGATCCGAGATCACGATTTGTTATGACCAAGAGTGGGCCGAAAAGAGTCTTCAAGATCCGATAATACGATTTGATATGATTTAGCGTATATAAGAAAAAATCATGCAGATTCGATAAAACGATTTGATATGGTCAAAAATACGACAAAATGATTCTCCAATATCTGGTAGTTCGGTTTGTTTATTATGATCAAGAATGGAGCAGAAAGAATTTCAAAAATATTCAGAATATTATAAAGAAGAAGAGGTCGGAAAGGATCAGATATTATAATTTATTATAAAGAAAAATAGATCAGAAATATTTTCGAAATTCTTTCAATATGATTTATTCTGATCAAATATGGATCAGAAAGAAATATCAAAATTCACTAATAAGATTTTCTATATCAAGCATAGATCAGGAAGATTCGACAAGATCCGACAATACGAATCATTACGATCTAGAATGAATCAGAGAGAGTCAGCAAATCCCGATAAGAAGATATATTATGACCAAGAATGAATCAGAACGATTCGCCAAGATCCGATTAATTATGGCCAAGAATGGACCCTCAAGGCCCAGAAATATAATAACTAAAATCAGAAATATCTTTCAACATTCAGAATTATGATTTCTTAAGAACAGAAAATATCCAAGATCCAGAAATTCGATCGATTTACGGTCAAGAATAGATCAGAAGTTTCAAAACCTAATAATATAATTCATTATCATCAAGAAAATGTCAGAAAGATCCATCAAGATCCGACAAGGAATATGAAATCAGAGAGAATCTCCAAGATCCGATAATATAATATATGATGATCAAGAATAGATCAGGAAGATCCTCTAATTTCCGAAAATATCAATTATTATAATTAATTATAATCCAGAAAGATTTATCAAAATCCGAGCATACGATTTATTATAATCAAGATTAGATAGGAAAGAATCAAATAAGATCCAAAAAAATAATATAATATATCTAAGAATAGATCAGAAATTTCTAATAAGATAGAATATATTTTATACGGATAAAATTTATAATGAAAGAAACTTCAAATTCCGATTTTTCAATATATGCTAATTCAGAATAGATAAGAAAAGAAATTCAAGATCCGAGAATATGATTATTTTTTTCAAGAATAAATCATAATCAAGAGTAGACCAGAACGAATATATAATCAAGAAAATATCAGAAAGAAATATAATAAACAAAATAATTTAATATAAATGCGAAGAAATCCATAAAATCAAATATATAAATCAATTATAATATGAAAGAATCTTCAAGAATTAAGAAATATTTCAGAAAAATAAATCAAATATTTTCAATTTATTCAATATAATTTATATAAATTCTTCCTATCATCTTCATAAATTTTAATAAAAATATTAAATTGAAAAGATATTTATAATTTTTGTCAATCAGTTTTATTTTATTATTAATATATATGATTATCTTATTAAATAGAAAATCCATTTCTCTAT